GGGGATTTTTTTAACCTGAAAGAATGCTTTCCATTTTACGACAAGAAGTGGACATTGGAGGGTTGACGTTGATCCTGATATTCGCGCATGGGAGTATCGGGACAATATGGCCGCCGGTACTGGTTATATAATTTTGAATATTTTGAGTATATACCCTGCGCCTGGATTTCCCCACTCCTGGGGATTTTTTAACCTGAAAGAATGCTTTCAATTTTACGACAAGAAGTGGACATTGGAGGGTTGACGTTGATCCTGATATTCGCGTATGGGAGTATCGGGACAATATGGCCGCCGGTACTGGTTATATAATTTTGAATATTTTGAGTATATACCCTGAGAACAAATGTTTCTTTGAATAAGGTCATATACATATTCTGATAATCCAAAGAATTATTTTACTCGAATGAGCTTAAATAATTCTTGGGATTAACGAAATATTTCTTTGGTAAAATGGAGTTTCTTTTTATCAGTGTATATAAGAAGAAGACTGCAACGGAGGGTTATTTATGAGTCCGTGAATATTTAACTTCTTAAATGCGTTTTAAATGTAGCTTGTAGATATTAGATTTAGCGTAAATTGGAAGTTTTGCGGTAATTATGATATTCTTACGCAGGAGTATCGAGGCAATATGGCCGCCGGTTTTTGGAAAAATTCGTTTAGAAATGTTTTTCACATTTTGTATAAAAAATGATGTTTCATGGGAGCCAGGACCTTTCTCGTAGTTTTTATATTCACGGTGTAAAGTTTGATACGATCCGATACACCCAGTTCGGAGAAAAATGTTACGAACGATCGCACTTTCGTATCGCCTTAAGAATTCTGTCTGCCGAGGAGTGCTATTTCTGAGTCTGAGAATATTTAGATTTTGAATGTACTTCAGAGGTATTAAAATTTAAAATAGGGATTGATTTTAGAGGATTACGCAATTTGCCCATTCGCGACTCGAGGTCTGGTTATCGACAGGTCGAACGAAGTGGCGTTCTCAGACGTTATCTGGAGATTTCATGCCATTTAGATTTCTCGGATAAGGTAGGCAGAATCTAAATTGAACATTTAATGATAAGACAAGAATGGCTGGGAAGCGTCGACCCCGGTGGAAATTTAGCTGCGATCACGTCAGCTCATATTTCAGGACCCCGAGGAGATTGCAAAGGTCCGAGTCTCATGAAAGCAAATTTTTTATCATATTTAACGGCGTCACTGAACATTCGTAAATACGAATTAGTTCGCTTACTTTTCAAACTTTTAATCGCGCTCAATTAGCCTGCATACTTGAAGTAATCGCTATACACCCGTTCCTTCTCCCCCGATGAGTAATAAAATACCATTCGAACCGCTCCACTGACGTATTCACGCAGTTTCGTAAGTCCGACGATATGTATAATCATCGCTGATATGCGTGACTTTTATTCCGCGCAGGTCGCAGAGTGGAGCTTTTCAATTAACTGGAGATATGCCAGTGCTTATATCCAGAAAGTCCTAACTCCTCGCAGAAGGGAATTATTTTTGGCCTTTGTGCTCGTTAAAACTAACGCACAATTCTTCTTAAATTATTAATTCTTTCAGAGTCTCCATTTTGCGCGGCTTTTATGGGCCGCCATCTTGCGAGATTCTCGAACGTTCCGAGGCGAGCGACATTTTTCGAGTTTCCGTTTCCTTCCCCCTGACTATTTGATTCCCAGCTGATAGGTCAACGTCTCGTTACAGAAATGCGCGTTATTAATTATTAGAAAGTATTACAGCCGACGTCTTATTTGTGCAAGCAATGAGGCAATCGGCTCGGCTCTCGTATCTTTCGCCCCACTCCTCCCGATTTATCAGAATTCGTGCACAACTTTAGTTTCCACGAAGTCCCTGGCGCCTTCTGACCAACACGTGGACGGATTTTTGTTCGATTGCCAATCCGGCTAATTATTTATTATGTCTGGACCGAGTCGTAGACTCGATCGAGCCAGGGCACTGAAAAAAGAGAACGACACATCGAGCGTTACGTAACGCCTGATAATCTGAAGGCAAATTAAAAATCAGGCGACTGGAAACAACGTGGATATAAATAACGGCCTATCTCAGAATCCTCTACAACAGGATTTAAATTAACATTTTCTAAAAGTGAACGTAAATCACTTACCCGAATTATCTGCTCGTTCTGCATCGAGCATAAAGTATTCATGAACTTTCGGAGTTCGATCGTTGTATAGGTTATGGCCGCTGAATTTTTCCCGCACACAGAACTGCGATCGCATAGACCGTTTATTGGCTACCCACGTTGTTTGCAGACGACTTGGACGAGCCTTTATCTTATCACCGTGGCAGGCGTATTCGGGTTGGCTTTCATGTGCTCGCATGCATGTCTGCGACTCGACCGAATGGCTGATTTGACAAAGGCTTTGCGAGTCTCTCCGTCTCCGGGAATTCTGGAAACATCGTCAACGTGTAAAGCTCACCGAGCCCGTTTTTCATTCGTTTTCATTCTTCAGAAGACCTCGAATTTCATTACCTTACCAAAGAATCCTGCATTACCTACTGAGAAGGGAACTGCAACCGAAAGACGTTCTTCGATGAGTTTTCACTTCCACTGGGCGCGGCTTGAAAAGATTGACAAATTTCACTGGTATTATTTATTTGCCGAATATTTTATGTTGTATAAATTAGGAGGGAGGTTAGTATGATGTGATGGTTAGATTTGTGAAGGAATGGAGGGATTGGGATTGGTTTTAATGTGTCTCTTTGTAGGGAGCTGCCTTATCAGTCGGGAAACAAAATGGCGGCCGACCCGCGACGCGAAGACCGATCGGATCGATTAACTGCTTTGTGAGCTGCATGCAGCACGAGGGGAATGAAAGACGGAATCTACCGTATCGACGAATTGAAAAAATCGGTGGCTCTGGGAAAGGGAGCTTCTTTACCGGCGGAACGATGAGTAACTTCCCAGTTTTACATTCTGGCAGCCTAGAGGCGCTGGTGCTTGGTCCAATACGTGTAGGTTTCTGCCTGGATAGGAAGCAGAGTTTAATTATTTTATTCAACGATTTGCCATATAATTTAAGACATAATAGTGCATAATATACTCGGTGAAGCTATATTACTATTGTATACTATACGTTACTATTACTCGTATTTCCTGCCATGAAGCGTGTTACAACTCTCGATTATAAAAACTCGTGTTCATTTAAAACACGTTTAATTCAGTTTCCAAGTTCTATCGTCAAGTTTTAATTAGTAGAGATTTTTTATTTTCAGACTTGATGGCGATTATGGTGGACCGTGATAGAAATCCGATGATTCGTCGACCATTCTTGAATTTAAAAGCTGAAACAAATCTCATGTGAAGCACGTTTCGAAGTCTGCAATTGTCGAGGCCGCCATTTTCTTGAAATATATTACTACCTGCGATTGTATTTCTTCGAGCTTCGGACGTTACTTGAAGTTGGCACTTGCTGAAAATTTTGGGTGGGCGAGTTAGGGAGCCAGTCTTCGAAATTGATTTCGTTTAATTAATAAAACATTCGTGTATATAAATAGAGTACGAATACGTGTGATATTGAATGCTCGTTGTCCACTCGTCGGATGAAGGCTCGTCGCGCATTATGTACATTTTGTATCCTTTTAACGACTCTCGTGGGCTGCACTACCGCCTGAGTTGTGCTCGAAACGTAATTCTTTATCTCATCGCGAATTCAGGAAACAATTCGCCACACGGAGCGAGCACCTTGAAACCGGAAGTCACGATCTCTTCGAGTCTGCGCGCCGTTTCCGGTCGCTCCGCGTCCCGCCTCGTCCTGGGACTCTTCGATGGATTTGCAGCCGCAAAAATTGATAAAAGATCCCTCGATCGCGTCCCTGAGTCTCCCGATTGATTACAAAAGTACCATTTAAGACACGGAAATCAACTACGGATATGTATATAAGTGCGTAAATATAGATATTTATATGAAAGCCAGTCGAAGGGACGCTCGAGCAAGATGGCGGACTGCACCTGGGAGGATCGTTAAAAAAGGGAAATCAGGACACAGCGAAGACGCGGAGAGGAGAATCAAGTCGCCGGAAAACTGGCGCAAACCCATAATAAACCGACGTAACTCCAAAGAGAGACGAAGGAAAGGGCATTACGATTATCCTTAACATAATAATTGAAGCTCAAGTTCCGCCGGAAATACATCGAGTACTCGAAAACCCTTCCGAGCGGCGTTCGCGTACATCCGTTGAACACTGGGCTTAGTTAATGCAATTTAAAACGAAAACTGTCTTTTAAAAAATGAACCCTTGGAAATATTCCCGAGAATATACAAGTTACTCGTAAAATACCTCTGGAGGGCAATTTTAAGATGGCTTAAGATCAGAAGGATGGACGTTATTAAAACAATTTCCAAATAATTGCACAGATCTAAACCTTGGTTCTGGATGTTCGTTTCGCCCAGCGTGCTTCCGGCTCTTGTTGGGCTCTAACTTCTAAGGAGAGTTTCCTCCATTGCCTTCCTCCTCGAATGATCGTACGCTTCCTTCCCTCCTATCACCGAGTCATCGGTGCTAATCATCCAATCAAAAGTGGAGAGATCGCTCGACAAGGGTTCAGAAAATCCACTCTTAAGTCGTGCGAGTTCCACCGGAAGTGCCCGCCACGTCAGCACTTAAATTCCCACCTCGAAGCACGCACTTCCGGCGTATACTTACACCTCGTTTAGATTTCCCGCACATCCCTTTGCAGGGCCTTCCTCGATTCGCAATAATCGCCATTATCAAGTACCACTCCATTAAAATCAATTTGACAATTTCAATTTACAGGAATACCAATGTCTCTCTACCAGTTTCATTGTTCACCAAATTCCGTTGCAGATGGCAGCGTGACAAAAATGCCGGACAGTGTTCATCCGCAAATCAATGAATTTGAATAATCATCTGGTGAAGAGGTCAACCGGCGCCATTATTGTGATTTTCCAGGACCCTTCTAAAGTTTTGCCTGCAAATCGAAATTACAGGCTTGGAGCTGGAGCATATTAAAGTTCTTCACGAGGGGGTGGCCATTTTGGAGTCCCTTTGTCGTCCTCTTGGAACGGCCGCCTCGGTTCTAGGAGCACGAAGATACGAGCGCTCGAGTCGACAGCTTCTCTTCGACGCCATTTTCAACATACATGTCTACCTGCTACGCGTGTAGCTTAGATTATGCGATATCTTAAACCTAGTTGTAACATTAGAGACGTTAGTCAAGCGTGAACCTGTAAATAGCGCTAGTCTTGATGCGGGTTACAAGCGAGTCGCCAACGAGTCGGGCTCGTCGGAGGTTCCCAGGGTCCTGAGGGACTGGGAGAGTTTCCGAAATCCCAAGGGACCTCCAATGGACAGTGGAACCGTCGACGTCGCAGCCTGGGCAGGGGGCGGTCGACCCCCTTATCAAGAGATCCCAGATCAGACTCCTTGCAACCCTATCAAAAGTAGCCGATGGATGATGACAGTTAGGAGTTCTCTACGTGGTCTTAAATAAGTGTAAGGTCGGCCTATGGGGTGCCCGATGCACCCTATGCGACTGCACCCACTGCCGGTGGCAGAGGCCCTGCACATCCTCTCTTCTCGTGTGTGTCGAAGTGTGTGTCAATGAGTGTATGTTGCGCCCGTCATCTTCTGAGTATCTGGGTGTCCAGCATCCTGGACCGCCTCCTGTCGGCAATCTCCAGGAGGCTGGGGTCTCAGGCCATGACCTTGCGAGGCGTCAACCACTTCTTCATGTAGTAGCAGAGGATCGTCGAGATGTAGATCAGGACCAACAGGGCACATGTCACGGCCAGGGCCAGCACCGATGTCCTCGTTGGACATGGCTCGATGATGGTCACCGTTTTGTCTGGAAATAGGATTTTCAACGTTCATTCATTATTCTTATCATCACAGGCCCTGATACCACCTGCAGAAAAAGTAATCCACAGTCATCCCCTGTTTGGCTTTGGAAATGCAACATCTTTTGCAGGCATTTTTTCGATATTTCTTTTTTATGTCATAAATTTATTTGCTGAATTTGCAAGTATATTTTCTAATGCAAACTCTCGTGTGATTACGTTTCATATGATTGCAAACTGTTTTGCTGATAGGACGAGTATTAGCGGAGGAAAAGCGAAAGTTTGTCCTTTGCTGGGAGGGCAAATGTGGTTTTTTTGAAGGGAGGAAGGAAAGGATCCTTACCAGACTCGTTGAAGTCTATGCTGGCGTCGCTCTTCAGGAAGTCCGACTGCTTCTCGTCACCAAAGTCCAGGACGAGGATCTCCTGGGAGAGGGTCATGTCCTCAGCCTTCTCCTCCGTGGAGTTCACCACGTTTCTTCGACGCCTCTTGCCCCAGGATTCCGTGGACTCTCGACCCCATTCGCAGACAGCCTGAAAAGGCGAGAGTGACGATAAAATGACGAAGACAAGAGGATCAAGGATTTAATTCCACCCCAGGTCCAAGATTCCTTACCGGATCACAAGGTCCCAGACAGTACTTGACGTTGCACTGGAAGATGACACCGTAGGACTCGGTGAACCTGAAGGCCTCGTAGACGCTCTGCAGGGCGTTCCCATCAGGAGTGAAGCTGGGGAAGATGGATGGATCCACGGGACACCTGGAGGAAAAAGTCGCATATTTCATGAATCTCCTTTCTACGAACGTAAAACATGATTGCACATCCTAGATGATGAAGTTCTACCGACCCTTCGTCATCGATGATCTGGAAGGTGCTCTTCGAGTCCTTGGCCATCGCCACGCAGCTTCGAGCAAAGATTCCATACGGGGCTAAAAGAAGAGATTAATTGTTATCCTTTTATTTAATTTCGAAGATCCTGCTTCAGGCTTCATCTAAAGGGATTTACCCCTGAAGAGCCACTTACTGTCTTCGGGGATCTCGATCCTGAACGTCAGCTTATCTCCAATGCGCACAGTCTCAACCTCTCTCGTCCTGCTGTCCAGGATGCGGATCCTTGGTGGAGGAGCCTCGGGAGCGCTGGTGATGCTGATCATCTCTGGGTCTCTGATGGGCATCATGCCGAAAGTGATGTTCTTCGAGGACATGTCGTAGGTGCACTTCACCTTGTAGATCTTGTCAGCTTTCGTCATCACCACTGAGTGATGCTGCAGGACCACGGTGTTGGAGTAGATGCCGGTCTGGAAGATACGCCAGGATATGTGGTGAAAATCATGGATCAACCATGAAATGTTCATCAGTTTTCAACCAAGGAACATCATTTAGGGACTTTAGTGTCGACTTTGTTTCAAGAAACAATTCTCACCACGCTCTGAGTGTTGCAGTCTTGTCCACTCATGGTCAGGTCCAACCTGAAGAGGTCGCTGTTGGTGACGTCGATGTTGCAGGTCTCGGATCGTCCTAAAGCGTAGATCCTTCCATTGAAAGGCTTGTTCGTTCGCACCTGGACCGCTATGCGAGTATCCTTGCAGTCGACGGACACTGAAATGGCAGGAAAAAATTCTATCACTTTATTCTGCTCACCCTGAGGATTTAAATCCTTAGAATTAGCCCCAACTCACCATCGTAGCAAGTTCCTGTTTTGTCGCAGTTGACGTTTTCGTGCCTGGTGAAGTTATTGATCTGTGGATCTTCCACTGGGAGGATGTCAATCGGGAGCTGATCCGGGGGACCCATGCCTTCTGGAGGTGACCACAAAATTAGGTAAGTAAAATCTCTATACCAAAAATCCACGACTTCCGAACATTACCATCAAATTCGATAAAATATAATAAAGAGCATCACTCACTTTCGCAGAAGTTCTCGAAGTAGGTGCCAACTCTTTCGCCGTTATCGATAAGGGGCCTCTCCGCATTGAGATAGGTGGAGGGTCCATCAGGCAAAGTCCAATGATCCAGGTGGAACAGGTGACAATTATAAGCCGTGCCCTGAGGAGCACCCCGGTAGAGGAAGGACCTGCACAGGAACTCGTTCTCGATCTCGCAGGCTAACCTGCAGGCATTTTCGCTCTGCACCTGGAGTTCCTTATCACTGTAATAATGGAGACCAGCATACTGCGCCACCTTATCATCGGCGACGCCGATCCTCGGGGTCTGGAACAGCCTCTGAGACTTGCAAGCTTCCTTTCCTGCGAAACAATAATCGACCAAGGTCCAGGATTAATTTCATCCTCTTTCAAGAAACCAAGTTAAGGCTACCCAAAAGCGATATCTAAAAAGTCTCTATTATATCAGATTTCAAAAACCAAGTATTCCAAATTATGTCAAATGTTACCACTTGAACGCGAAGGCGTTGAGAAAAGTTCCTACCCATGAAGTTTCATTTCTTGCCAGAAATTAAAAAAATGTTCATAAATAAATTTAGAAGAGAGGAAATTTCATGGCTATCGGGACCTTCCTTGGAGCCTCTATTTCCACGTGGTAAAATTTCAAATACCTCCGTAGAAGATTTAAGGAGAATTTTCGAAAACGATTGGCTTTAGAGGCCACTTTTGCGCCGCCTTAAGACATTTACCTTTCAAGCATAGGTTTTCGAAATAGTCCACCCCTTGTGCGTCCACAAACTGCACATACTGTCCCGTCGTCCTCCTATCGGAATCACTCAGGTGACACTGTAGGGTCACGTAATTGTACTCGAGGGACCGACAGGTGAATCGGTGCTCGTTCAAGCAGGCTGCCAAGCAAGCCTCCTTCGTGGAGGTGTAAATTAGTGCGTTGTCCAGCCCTCGGATCATTTTATTAGGGATGCGCTCAAATGCCCATGGACGAAGACACACGTTCTCTGGGGGTCGAAAATTGGCGATGGTTAGACGAGAATCGGAGGGGAAAAAAAAACGATAAAAAATTATAAGAATAAATTATTAAACCTGGTCTTGGTTTAATTAGTATCGGTGAGTCGGTGATTAATCGTCGTTCTGGGTGAGGGAACGCGTACCATGGGGGATTATAATACAGGGTGGTTTGATGGTAGGGTATTTCGTCGGTACAGGGATTGAGACATGGTAATGCAATAATTAGGTACTGCCCAGTCGGGGGTTAATTGGACCTCCGATTCTGGACGAAGAAACGTGTTCCTTAAGTAATTAAAATCGACGGCGGAATTCTCTTTGTCGATACAGAGATTGATGCATGGCAATTTAGTGATTAGGCGCTGCTGATTGGAACGTTAATCGGGCTTTCCATTACGAGGGAACACCTTCTCGCAGGAAATTAAAATCGACATCGATACGTGGGCTTTCGTTAAGAAATAAGGGGGGAGCCATTTTGAATATGTATAGTCGATCAGGCTTTGGGATGATCGAACGATGCACTTGGGTTATCGATAACCCCATTTTTATGCGAGATTAACATCTTGACGGGTCGTTGTGATTGCAAGTGTTAATTGTATCGCTATTTTAGATACGACTTGTTGGGTATTGACGTCAGCTGATTCTTCATTATTCTGACCCGAGAGTAATCCCGTTGCGTAAGGTTGCATGATGATGGATGGTGACGATAGATATTGTTGACATAAACGATTAATTTACAGATATATTAGCAACAATACTGTGGGAAAGTATATAATATAATCAAGAACGTAGACTTTTAACATGCTATTTCTTTTTAAAAATGAGTAGGATTTTCTGATTTAATCAATGTCATTGAAAATCTTATTAACGGATTTGTCGCTTACGAAACCGAAAATTAAGTGGATTTCCATGAGAGATAAATCGTAATCTCGAATTAAAAATTTGACCTATTGTCACCGAAAATTCCAGGATTTCCTATCCCTTGTCTCCTTCTCCATCATTTTCGATCTCAGGTTTAATAAATTTTACTTTTACATCGCATTTCCCGGGTTAACAAATCTTACGTAATCTCGATGTCGCTTAATCAATTAATCACAGTGTGGGTGTCATAGTTTATAAAAAAACGTGACCCGTTGCAATGACCCGAGTACATTTTCATATCTTCGTTCACCCGTTCTGTCTTGAAGTTCACATAAATATTTAGACAGAGTCTATGGAGAATTTATGTTTTTCTTTTATATCATTTTTAAGGCCAAAATTCGATGCTTCGGCCACTTCTTTTGAAATTTCGAGTTTCCCTCGTTTTCCCTCGGCTTATCGCTCACATCTAGGGAGGCTCAACGATTTCTTAGTTTAGTCGATCGTAAAACCTCCGGTTACCGTTAACGACGAACAGTTGTCCCGGGACACGCACAAAACGGTCTCGGTCGAGAAGAAGAGACCTCGAGGAAACCGAGAGACGTAGATTCGGCCTCGTTAGCCCGAAAAGAATGTCACCGAGAACGTTCCGGATTTTTGGCAGCGCCTCCACCTGCCATTGTATCGCGTCCCCTCGATTTCTGGCCCGATCTCACTGGGCCTATTTGTCATCGGTGTCAGCGAACTCTTGCACAACTTTCGACCGATCCCCTATTCTCGGTGTCGATGATTCATATCGATCACCGGCGTGCGTCACGCATAGCCCTAAGAAATTTGGCTCGGAAAAAGCTACAGGATTAACAACGACAAACAAGTCAAACAAGCCAAGAAACCCTGATTAAAAGGACGTGAAATGTATTTTTTAGAATTTTTGTCCTGCGACTTTTCCATACCTCAGCGGCGGCCATTTTTAATTTACGGGTATGACGTCTTAGATACGATTACTGGAGATGCGGAGTTTGCGGTGGGAGGAATTACGAGATTAATAGGTAATCCTGTGATTTATGAGTATTACTGTGTACTGAGAAACATTCTAAATTTTATGGAGAGGCGATATTAAATTTCTAGGATTTCCTGCCTGGAGGATCCTCAGCTTAAGGGGGTGGTTTTCCAAGAATTCGAGTGGGAATTCATGTAACTCGGAGGACAACATTTTAAGAGCCGAAGGTTGGGCTAGGACCGGTTCCCATTCCAGTAAATAGGAATTTGGGGGAAGTTCGAGTGCCAGGTGAAGGGTTAGGGAAAGAAGCTACCACAGGTAAGGCGCCATTGAAGCGCCGGTAAAAGTGCCGAAGGGGATCTAAAACGAGGCACCAGCAGGCTCATTAAGTTAATGTCGGGTTTCCATTGACCTCTTCGCCACCTCGCAACGGGTATGCACGTATTTTACACATATACCCTAATTACGATACCTTAAAATATGGCGGAACCGGTTCCCATTTCTGTAAATATATTTCAGGGGGGGCCCGATTGCGGAACGAAAGGAGGCGCCGGGGTAAAAGTGCCCCCGGGGGGTAAGACGAGGTACCAGCAGGCTCGTTAAGCCGATACCGGTGTTTCTATGACCTCTTCGACACCTCGGCAAGGTGCGAGGGGACCTTAAGGCTTTTACGAGCGGGTCGGCGCTTCGCACCAGCACCACCAGCGAATTGTTTGCCCCTGCTTGGGAGGAAGGAAACCGTTTCCAGGATCCTTTGGGGACCCATTGTGGTCCCAGGGTGGAGGGACTCCTAATCCTCGGGACCTTTTCCCTCTTTTCATGGCCCCTGGTCTTAGGCCCGGGTCTCAAGGGACGCCATCGTGTCGACAGGTGTCGGACGCCACCTTCTTGGATGAGTCGCCGTATTGTCCGGGACAAACTGGTGCCGTTTAATTGTCCGCCTCTTAAGAAGAGATCAGGCCTCGGACGTTGCCCTCGAAACGGGACAAAATGTCAGGTACCTACAACCTGGGGCTATTCGACGAATGGATTACTGGAAAGCGTGCTGTGGCTGATCTTGTTTAGTGGAGGCGCTCGAGGTTTTTACGGTATACAATATCATAGCGGTGATTAACTATTCTTATTTATTTTACATTTTTAAGTGTTGGAACTCTTTTCTAGGTTTAGTTTCCCATTTACCTCCTGCACCGTCCATTTGCATCAGTTTCGTGAGCTGACCTCACTTTTTCCTGGACACTCCTTGGAGCGTGCCATTGACTTCCGAGGCGAATACTCCTTTGACTTACAAATTAACCATAAATTAAGCCTAAATTAAGCATCTCTCGCAATGAGATACCGTTAACCGATCCACGAGGCAGCACCTGGGGTTCCGCGTCACCTCGGGGACGCGTCGGCATGCGATTCCGCGCCCGGCCAACGGCAGGATGCACTTCGCGATGGTGATTTCGATGAGCGCATGGGCATGTGCAAGCGTAATACCCAAGCGCGGTATTTACATCTTCCGTTTAACGGCGACATCGGCTGGTCGGCGAGAGTCACCGGCTCTCGGCAAAAGAGAGGGCCCGTTTGATGTCGCCAACAGGTTGCAAACGGTTATGTGTAACCCGACCACGGTGATGTTCCCCGTTTATGGTAAGGATGCCCCCGAGATGCACAACAATTTGCGTACCCGACTTCAGGGAATTCTTTTTTTTCTATTTTCCACATTGGGATCGAAATTTGAATTCTCTTAATCTGGTCAATATATTCTCTCAAAAAGAACAAAAGTACTCTTTCCAAAATGAAATCAATGAATTCCTTTGTAAACCCCTCCTATGGTAAAGTTCCACCCGAGAAGCACAACAATTTGCATGCGCATTTCCTCGGATTCTTAATTTTTTTACATCTTCCATTGGGTTTAAATTCAATTTACGCATTCGTAGGTTTCTTCCATATGAAAGGAAAATATTTTCAATATGAAAATAATAAGTACCTTCCTACGAAATACATGTTTAGGTGTTTCGCTGTAAGGTGACGGTGAATTCTGAAATAAGTGAAGACTTCTTTTTATTTATAAAATGGTACTCATCACTTACCCGATCGGAGTTGCAGTTTCGTCATGTAGTACATGTTCGCGGCTCGTTGAGGCTGAGCCGCAGGATTCGAGGAGGACGATTCGTTCTGCAGTTGGCAGAGAGTGTCCTGCATCGGAGCGAGAGGATTGACGACGAAGGAAAAGGCTGCAGCTTGGCATTCCGCCTCCTCCCTGCACCATCCCTGACATTCGTACAAGGAGAGGTTCCTGGCACTGTAGTACACGGTTCCGCGGTAGTCATAGTCCGTCAGTTTTTCAAAGGCTGTTCTCGCTGAAAATTGAAAAAAATTCAAAATGGAACCACCCCGAGAGCCCCAGAAAAATTTGTCATAAAATGTAATAAGGTCTGCGCACACCAGAGAGTGCCAGAAATCATGAAAGTATCCACCGCGAGGTAGATAGATAGCAAAGTATTACTTATAATATCAAATGAACAGTAAAAATTGAATAGATAGTAAATATTAATTCTAGGATAGTACAGGAAGATCAACTCACGAGGTGCCGCGTGACTTCCGGTCGCCAGCGCCAAGAGGAAGAGTCCAGGGACCAGGAGACCAAGGGGGATCGAGCGCATCTGCAAAAGAAAAAATAGAATCTCTTCAGCAACGAGAGAAGTACCTCCAAGGGTGGTTAATTTTCTTTTTCTATCTCACGCGGCGTGAGAGACGTCCAGATATTAATAATTCCATCCCGACGTGACACGCGAGCCCCGCGATTTATTAAATCCTCTTTCCCAGGGTAAGGATACCAAGGGACTGGAGACCCCTGCAGCATAATTCAGGGCTTAATCTTATCACCTGAAGAAAGGTTTGAGGAGGATCTACCATATTTCTCTGGTGAACCGTCTACCTGGGCGAGTAATCCCTCCCCTGGTAATTATTTTTGCACTTGCACCCATCGCGAACAGTGATGCATGGTTGCAGAGCTCCCCATGGTTCTGGAGTGATGGACGCCCCGATGTCCAAGGGAACAAGATCGCCTCGCGCTGGGCATCGGGGGATTAGCATACGTGTCGGGTTTAACGACATCTGGTACGGTTAACGCTTGAGGTAGGTCGTCGTTTTGCGCCCGAGGAAGATCGACGTGGAATCCCGAAGACGGACGTGCTTCCGCGGTGCAACGAACTCGCCTACGTTTTCCTGAAGACAAACGTCCCGGACGTTGGAAGACTCTTGCAGGTTCTACCCCGAGAGCTCCTAGAAGAGGATCGACCGACCATTACGATCGATCGACGAGGTTGGAGGCAACGAAGCCTTAACTGGGCCTGAAATCTGCCAAGGTGTCTTCCCTGGAGAAGTCGAAGAGCTCGACCGTGTACCAGTCACGACTACCGCCGAAACTTGCAAATTGTACAAATTCGGCATTTCAAGTGTTAACAATGTCAGCTGACACGTTTGTTTACGTGGTCACGATCGAAGTTAGAAGTGAAGGAAGACGGATGGTCTCCGGGTACGTCTTCTTCCGGCCTTAGGAAGTACCAATTACGAACGACGTGTCTTCGGGGACTCGTCCTCGGTTAACGTTATCAGGCCAGGAAGGAATCCCTACTCGGTCCTTCCAATTACTTCTTGCACCCGCCCAAGCTAATCGCAGGACTCGATCGTTTTCCTGAAGTCCCGGGTAGGTCCCGATACCACTTGGAGTCCTTCCTGGCCGGTCCCCTTCAGCCGCAGGTGAGTCTTCATGGCCGCCCCGAAGAGGTGGAGGAACTCGCGTGCCCGGTATCGGGACGCCGGATTCCAGTTTCTTGCTCGAATTATCGTTTTGCACCTCGCGGCCTAGGACGGCCGGTTCTTCAGGAAGTGCATCTACCAGTGTACGCCTCTTGGAACGAAGAACCGCAATGCAACGCGACGAGTGCCGAGTTCATAAAAATGCCCCGGCCTGGATCGCGAACGGAATCATCCGGGACCAGCTTGGACGATTTTCAACCTTTTATCTCTTGGAATAAAGTGGATCGCGATGTTAGCCGAAGACGGTTTAAACGGTCTATGCCACTTTCCGGCGACCCGGGGATATTAGAAGGATGATGAGGTTAAGGCTTAAAGTGAAGTGAAACTCCCTTCAAACCAGTCAATTCGAATCGGACACTTTTTTAAGGGTTTTACAAAATGCCTGGCAGTTTAAATGACTCACGAGCATCAGAGAAATACCGAATCGTTTGTAATCGTAAGAAGGTTCTGCCCATGAAATTTCATGGATGTTAGGATTTTCCTTATAGCCTCCATATTAACAATGTAAAGTTTTAAACGATTTGGTACACCCGGTGCGGCGAAAACTTTCATAAACGATACTTTTTTTGACGCCACTCTCACATTATCTTAAGGGGCCAATCGTGAATTTCTTTAAAATTTGTTCCAAGACATTTGACAATTTTTTATGAATATTTATAGGTGTCAGGAGATTCTTTATGGCCGCCAAATATATGTTGGAAGGTGTTAAACGATTCGGTACATTCAGCTCGGAGAAATGTTTCATGAATGCCTCCTCAGGCTCCACTTTCATATCGCCTTAAGGCTGTAGATTTCAGTCTGCAGACTTAGCCTGGAAGCCATTCCAAGCCTCGCCCACCGGATGGCGAACATTCGGATCACGTTCTTCATCGCGTTCTTCATCGTTTACGTGCAAAGAAGCCCCTCTTCAGGGTGTCCGGGATTGCGGCAATTATCGACGGCTTCTGAAGAACTTCTACCCGTTAGCTTCTTTTGCGCCTTCGGGTTCCACGGGACACGCCCGAGGCCCCTGAAGAAAACCGCCTCTTCCTCTTCGTGGTCCTCTTCGTCTTCCACGCCCGAGGTCATCTTGCTCGCGTAATGGCGAACGGGAAAAGAGGGACGCCTCTTCCGGTTCGTTCTTCAAGGTGACGCCTCAAGGTAATGCAAGATACATCTTCCCCTTCAAGGTTAAGGGCTCTTCACAGTGCCATTATTACTAACTATGTAATTAATTCTAATTAATCCTAATTAAGGGGCCCTCGACACCCAGTTACCATATGACAAAAATCCCCCGCATCAATAATTCAATATACAAAATTCCTGAATTTATGGGGGTTTTATCAATGTCTTTTCTTTGTCTTCAGGTACTCAGTTTCTTTGTTGGAGATAGTGAGGTCTTCGGCTCCTCGTTTTAATTGAATGAAAGGCACGCCGATGCATCGCCGTCGTCGTTACCAGGCGATTCTCGAAGAGCCGTTCGCCGATCTTCATCTTCTCGACGAACAAGAACAAATGCAATTATGCCGCGATAATTGAACCTTGATGGAGCCTGTGTGAGATTAAACCGCGAGAAATAGCGGATCGGGCTGCTCGCGTCCCGGAGGACGTTGCTCGAGTTCTTTTGCCTAGACTTATCAGGAAGGGGAGGTAAGAAAACGCACGCGACGAGGAGGACCCTGAAGAAGAACGTGGACGGCGAAGAAGATGAGGAAGCGAGGTGCCAAAGAAGTGCCATTGCGCTTCTGAGAACCGGGGACGTAAAAAAACCCCGGTGTCTCCTCGAAAAAGAAACGAAGCGGCATTCTTCATCTGGTATTTTTAAGGTTAAGTGAAATTTCCTATCATGTAAAAATCCCAGTTAAAGACTATATTCAATTTATGTTAATATGTAACAGAAAATTTACACGAAACAGTGATATTTTAACGTTAATATACTTGTACGTAATATAATAACGATAAAATAAACGTCTCAATTAAAGGATTACATGATACATTAACGTAAATATAAGACGAAAGTCTTACTTAAAACAACTATATTTTTGCAATTCTATAATACGATAATTTCAGGAGAATATCTTCAAATTAAGGCCATATGAAAGTGGCGTCAAAGAGGTCTGATTTATGAAACTTTTTTCTGAACTAGATGTACCGAATCGTCTCAAACTTTACAACGTGAATGTGAAGGCCCTGCGGAAGGACGCGATGGTCGTGAAATTTCATTTTTCGAAAAAAAAAAGTCTTTCTCTTTCTTGTCCGTGATAAATACAATTGATTTTTTTTCTTCGAGAAATGAAATTCCGCGAGCGTCGCGTTAATTTATTAGGGCCTCCGTAATCTCACGATGAAGTTTCAAATGATTCGGTGCTCCCAATTTAGAAAGAAAAGTTTTATAAATATTTTGACTTTAGGGTATGTATATATGACACTTTTACATCGCCTTAATGTGAGATTCTGGATTGTGGAAAGCAAAGCTCGCATAAGTCAGGGGTCGGTAGAGATGCGCGCCTGCGCGCTCGCGATTGGCCGCGTCAGCGACGCGCGGAACCCACTAGCGATCCCCGATCGTGTGATCGCGCCTTAAAGCCCTGACCTTTACGGCGTAACCGGACTTGCATAAGCGAGAAACCCGGTCGACTGGTTCCGCGATCGTCCGCGAGCGCCGGGAGCTCTTTCTCCGCGGCGGCCATTTCCGGTTTCCCGTGGCGACGCCGCCGGAAGTACCCCCGGTGAAAAATCGAGTTACGCCGAAAACGACTCGTCTCACTTTCGCTTCACTTAACCTTGTTATACAAATTATCAAATTAACCCTGTTTTGCTCTGATTTATTACCTTCTCTTAAAAATCCGATAAAATTTATTTCCTCTTTACGCTCATTAGCTTGAATTTGAACTATCAGATTAACAAAAATATTATTATCTTCCTTTACTTTCCTATACCTGTATATCGACCGCTCGCACGTGAAACACTTGCGATAAAAAATATTCCCTTTTCGTTTATCAATCTTGAATTTGACTATTTCCAAAAAAAGAATATAAAATCTCCCTCGGGTAGCGTTTTATTTCAATTAATTGAATTTTATTATATTAAGTACTTTATACAATTTCTTCAACGGTGTTCTGTCTTCCCTTTTCACGTACCGATTTTGAATTTGACTGTTTAAAAAAAAGCGTATAAAATTTTTCCCTGGTACTTCAATTTAATTATTCCATGATAAATTATTCCTTCTTTCTAAATATTGCCGAGACAAGGCCGCGTGCAGAAGTGCATGCAGATTTGTCTTGGACGCGTTCACCCATTGTCGCGTCACTCGGTTGGCGTCGTAGTGTGCGTGCTCGCTCGCAGGATGAAGAAGTGCTCACGGAAGAGAGCCCAGGGAGAAAACCAGTCGGGTTAGGTTCTCGTTATGATTTTTCCGACTGTCCAAACCAGTTTGCTCTGTTTATCTGGCGCGGTTTATCAGCAGGCTGCGTGGGCAATGAACGGGCGGATGCATCGGGGGCGCTGCATGTACCCCGATGCACCCCGACGTGTCCCCCGACGGAAGGACCCGGTCGGTGTCCTCGATCTGACCTTCGCGAAATGACCCCCAGGGCGCGACTCGCGATTCGCGATCCGCGATAGGTCGCCTTCTCACGACTGGAGGCTGAGGCCGAGCGAGATATCTCGCCTCCTGGTTTGCCCCCCAACGATTGTACCGCGGGGACGGAATTTATTCAAATTGGAGATACTCTCGATAAGAGACGAGCCATGTCCGGTATTTTTGCCAAATCATTTTCGAATAATGCCCTCTGGTTGACTTTTTGTGAAATGAAGGCAAGAACTTGTGGATATTTAGGAGAGTCACTGGAAACAAGATGGC